ATATTAATGACTTTTGGGATGTTAATATTAATTTTAATGGGATTTGGGATCCAATATATAATATATATATATATATATATATATATATATATTATATATATTATATATATATATATATATATATATATATATATATAATATATATATATATATATATATATATAGACAGACACACACATGTGTGTGTCTATGTATACATAATATGTGTCACACACACACACACACACACACACACACACACACACACACACACACACACACACACACGTATATATATAGATCAAGTTTGTGTTTTCCTTTTATTGTTAATAATAATTTGTAAACTTCATCCTCAAGGGTAGAAGTCAAATTCATATATAAATATATAATCTAAGACAACAAACAAATATATATTTTTTAAATTCTACCAAAAACCTGCACATCACAACACTAACAAATCTGGTAATAATGGAATATTTTTTATGTATACCATCCAGAAGCAATAGCATTAGTTCATGGAAACCAATAACTGCAGCAATATTGGTCTTATTTAAGAAATATGTAGTATCAAGCAATGGCAAATATTACTGTGGTCCTGGAATGGTCATGAGCCTTACAGATATCTTTAGCAAGATCAGTATTTATAGAGCTCTCTCGGGTAAATTTTGGTAATTGTTTATGAAGTCTTGAGTACTCCAGCCAACAACCTTTGGGGCACTCATGCGAATCCACAAACACCACTGCATAAACCAAAAAACCTTTCTAACACTGGTGCTCTGATATTAGTCTTTGCCTGCACTCCCTTGACACTGCAACACTATTGGGTTAAACTAAAGGTTGTGGAAAGTTTCAAGTGGTGTGGATAGCATTATGAGAAAAAATGGTTTCTTTATGAAAGCTACTGAAGGACAGTAATAGTAATTTCTTACAACACCAGTACTTAACTGATCAAAATAATTTTGGTGTCAATGGATTCCCCTCATTCAATAGTATCCAAATATATAAAAATTATTGTGCAGAACCCCCCCCCCCCCATTAGTGACACTCTTGTCCACAATAGCAGGGGAGGGAATTAAAGGTACCTGGGAAATTATGGATGCTGGGGGCTGTGCCATAATTACCACTGATTTATACATAACAGAACATCCTGTATTTCACTCTAATAAGCTTAAGGGGACTGTCCCTAAATGAGGGGGGTGCAGAATTGGGGGTATGGGGGATGAAATTGGTAAATATTTCCATAAAAAAAAAAAAAAAAAAAGAAAAGAAAAATGGTCACATGGATTTCCTTGATTTTTGGATATTTGGTGTATTTTCATATTCCGCGTTTTTTTATACCAAATTCATGGGGGTTCCCACATGGGGGGTGATGGCCCCTGCAAAAAACTATTCTATTTTTTTTTTCACATGTGTCTGTGCAGTTGATCCCTTGTCCCAAAGGATTATGAATTATGTCATGAAAAAAATTGTGAATGAACATCAATGAATTCCTAAGACATCTATGATTTAATATTTTGGAAATTCAATTTAGTTTCCTCAGAAAAAATAAAATAAAATAAAATAAAATGTTAGTTTTTTATATTTAAAAATTTGTATAAAAAAGGGAAGCAAAATTTCAAAATCTTTAATAATAGATGTCTGCGCATTTTCACAAGGTTTCCAAAAAATCCATCCAAAATTTTAATTGGATTAAAACTCAGGGGCAAGGAATCAACCATAGCTGGAAAAAAAAAAAAAAAAAAAAAAAAAAAAAAAAAAAAAAAGCAAACAAAAAGTTGGATATCTGAAGTTCATTTTTTATACTTTTTCATTTATGGATCTTTACCATTTCATTACTGTAGAAACTACTATTATTTCTCTTACATATGCACTTTGTTAGGTAAAGATATGATCATTAGTCTCCAAGTTTAAGAAACAAAACACAAATAACTCCCGTAAAAAGGGGCAAATCAAGACCCAAGACATGACTATTCTATTAAATCAGTCGTTTCATGTTTTATACCTCTTTTATTATTGTCTTCTTGTGTATACATTCATTTACATGCATATACGTACGCAAATTATTGTGAAGTTATACGTTCGTGCACATGTATATGCATACATACGCATATACCCATTAGAAATATAATTATTTATTTTATTTGTTTCCTTTTTATTCTAGTCTACTTTTCTTCCACATGATTCCGCTTGATTCCGCCTCAAAACAAGAGATAAATGTTTAGTCACGAGCAGAGTACTTGTTATGGAGGGACAATGAATTGTTTCGTGTTTGTTTGAAATAACCATTCAGAAAACGTAGATATATCAAAATATTTTGAAATACATAACGCTTATATTCATTTATTGTGGACGCTTCATTTTGTGATGCAACAATAGGTATCAGATATTTGTAGGCCAATTTTAAAAGTTTACATGAATAAACTATATAATTAACTGTCTTTACCTTTATTTTTTTTCATAAAATGTATTTATAATGACATAATGATGTTTAATTGATTATTTCATTTCAAATGAAAGCGCATACATAAAATTATTGCAATCAGAAAAGTCTAAAGCAGTGGTGACGCTTGGAACTTTTACAGCTGGGTCCCTCCGAGATGGCTGTTGACATGGGCGAGCATCCAGCATGTGTAAATAGCTATTCATTGTGAACTTACTTTTAGAGATACAGACTTGTAACTACTCGTGTATTATTACTGAACATACTTGTATGATGAATTTGTCAAAATTGAATCATATCTACTTTATTTTAGGGGAGAGAAATTTGAAATGTCTCATAATGATTTTTTATTTTTATTTTTCCATATCATAAATCTTTCACAATGGGAAGAAACTGTTATAATAAGATACTTTTATCTTCTTGTGATCCAGATCAATAGGTAAGGTCACAATATAATGCATCATATTTGCTCCTGTAAAGTGAAAGTGTGGAAGGGTGAAAATCGCTGACAAAGCAGCAATGGGACAGGGTTCTGGCCTTGCATGCTGACTAAATTTTGTTGAGCATTTATTTACATTTCTTGCATGCTGACTAAATTTTTTTGTTGCAGGAGTTTCCATTTACATGGGTACTTCTACTTTCTTGTACAAAAATGAAACTGTCCATAACTCATTTTCGACCACTCCGACCCAAAATCCCCCCCCCAATGCCAGAGATGGTCCCCTTAATATATAATGATTAAACCCTTATATCTCATAGTAAATTAGGTAATTTTCTATATTACGTCCGTATAACCGATATCGATAATTTTGGTATCGTTGGATTCCTCTCACTCTCCACATTGCAAATATATAGTTTTTATTGTGCGGAAACCCCCCCTTAGCGAGAAACTTGGCCCCGATACCAGGGGAGGGCATGGAAGGTTCCAGGGAAAATGCGGGGTTAAATAGCATTAATAATATAACGCACAGTGAAAATAACCATGGTTATTCACATAACTTTCTATTGCTGCCGCCCCCCAAACTCCGCCGAGGAAACAAAACCTCCACCACGTATTCCCGGCAGGCTAGAGCGTTACACAATCATTGTCGATGTCGGAGCGGCGGGCGTAATATTACAATTACCTCGTAAAATTCCCGCTGAATCAGCATATTAACCTTGGCATAGTCAGCATTGTATATAGAGACGATTGTAGTATAATCAGGATGAACAGGGTGACCCGCCCTCATATGCAGGTGTTGCGCCTTTTTCGATGTTACACCGATGGCCTCAAGGTCGAGTTTCCCGTACTCTGGAATAACAACATCCGTATTCCTAACCGAAATAACCGTCGCGTTCAGAAGGCAGTCATAGCCGCCGCGATGGCCGAGTGTGGAGGGTGCTCGTATTCGGAGACGGATTTTCTGCTTGAAATTGCATCTAGCCAGGAAAAATGCTAGAGATATGCTTCCACCACGGCCTCCTCTGTCGGGAGAAAGCTGTATCCTCCGGCCTAGGACCTCCTGCCGGACGCACCCTGCCTCCTTAACATTCTGTGGCAAAGGAGCACCCTCCCTACTAATTAGCGGCATTAATTAATCAGGTTAGTACCTTAAAAATCCTAGGTTATTGTAGGTTATCAGCTCCGCATCTAGTTCGTGTGCGCTCTATCCTGCCGTGAATACGTGGTGGAGGTTTTGTTTCCTCGGCGGGGATTGGGGGGCGGCAGCCCCCTGCAATGGAAAGTCATGTGAATAACCATGATTATTTTCACTGTGAGCTTATATTATTAGGGTAATTTTATATATTACGTCCGCCGCTCCGACATCGTCGCTAACAGGGGGTTTCCGCGCAATAAAACATACATATTTGCATTGTATAGAGTGAGAGGAATCCAACGATACCAAAATCGTCGATATCGGTTATGCGGACGTAATACAGAAAATTACCATAAATTACAACAGGAGTCTCTACTCAAACCCTGAATACAGAAAAGGTTCTACACAGAAAAGATAGTAGGAGCCCAGTCACCCGTCACCTATTCACAGTCCCCTTTACAAACCCAACTTCCACCCTTCAACATACCTTATAAAAGATGAAAAGTTTTGTACTTTTCCCATAAAAAGAAGGCAAATGAATATACAATGCTAATGACCCAAGACACTACCTACCTGTTGATTAGCTTATTATTGACTAAACCTTCCCTTCCGGTCTCTTTACACTCTCCTTAGTCGTAATGAAGTTCTCAATACGAAATAAAGGATTCACACTCACGATATTATATTACAGCATGGGTCTCCTTCTCTTCTCCTCTCGAGACGACAGAGGTTGGGTTCGTTGTTGAAGTTCCTTGGGTCAGCTGAGGCGTCTCGCAACAAATGCACAGGAATAGAAACTTTAAAAATGTAAAAGATAACGAGTGGAAGATAAGAATACTTGGCATTCCTTTCCTCCAATTGCGCTAGTATATCGTCAGGCCAATAGATGGCAGGAGTGAAGTTTGTTTCTATACTTGCCTGACAATATCGGTTCATACGTCTATATCTACGATTTAATAACCACTCACATATTCTCTGTAACAGAGCATAAATTTGAATAAAAC